ATATATAATATTATAAGTTTAAAAAAATAAAAAAATTAATTATTAAATAATACATAATCTATTTTTTAATATTTTAAATAATATAATTTATACTACATTATTAATTTTAAATTTTAATCTTAAATTTTTATTTTATTTATCATTAATCTTTTAAATTTTTTACTATAACTCACCTTTCCTGATTTACTTTTAAAAAAATAAAAGGCAAATTGGCTATGGTACTGTTAAATTCATTGTTATCCATTCACTTAAAAAAATCTTCTTTATTACTGGAGGAGGTGATATCCTACATCCACGTGTCATCATTAGAATCGCGTAAACCATAAATCTCAACTCGCGCGTGCATTTCCACGATTTCTCCCAACGAGGTAGTAGTCCCGTTGCAGCAAAAAAGCAATGCTCCGTGTAAGTAGGAAAAGTAATCATCTTTAAATACTTGGCTGTTCAGATGTGAATTTTAGTTTTCAAACATTTAATTTTAAATATGAATTTTTTTAATTTATATTTTTAAAATATAAATTAATAATATTAATGATTTAAATAATTTAATAATAATTTTTTTCACTGAAAATAAAATATTATGAGTTTAAGTTACATGACATATAAGTACAATAAGATAAAAGATGAAAGAGTTAATAATATAAAAAACTTAATAATATTTTTTAATATTAATTGTTATTAAAAAAATAAAATTTAATATTTATTTAATTAATCTTCCAATTAAAAAATATTAATGATAAAATTAATGTTAATTTTTATTATTTTTTATATTAATTAATATTAATTACATTCTTAACCTATACTTAAAGACATATGTTAAATAAATCATTTGAATATTTGTAGTTTTGAATTATTTTTTATACATTTTTGTCTTTAAATTATAAAAATTAAAATTTTTTAATCCATTAAATCTATTCATATATATATCTTTTTATCTCTTAAATTAATAAGTTTAGGGACTAATAACTTACATGTATTATAAGTTAAGGAATTAAAAGTTGTACATTTGGATAAATTTAAAAAATTAATTAGTGAAAGGATAAAAAATAGATAAATAATTTAAAAATTAAAATTATTTAAAATTAAAAGTCAAAAAATTAAAATTGATATTTAACATATATAATTCAACACATTACCGATTATTCCGGTTACCCTCCGCCGTCGTCAGCCGTCAATGAGCCGGCTAGCTCGGCCTGTCATGCTGCTTGTCACTGGCTGCTCATCATATAAAATTATTCTAATAATTGAAAATGCACGAATTTCAGGAGATGAAAAGGTGAGAGAAAAAAAAAACATTCTGTACATACAAATATCTATAGCCAACATTGGAGTTAAAATATTATGTAAAATTATATATAATTTTCAAATAATATATAATATTATAATAATATATTATCTACGAAATTTTTTTTTTTAACTCTTAAACTTACCTCAAAATAATATTTCAACTCTTAAATTAAAATTAAAGTAGATAAATTTTTAAACTCTATTAATGATGTAAATAAACTTTCTTCATAAATGAGTCACACGATATTTTATATTTAATATCACTTTAAAAATATAAATATTTATGACTGAGAATATATCATTTGCATCATTGGTAAAGTTAAAAATTTTATTTATTTTATTATAATTTAGAGATTTAAATGTTATTTTTAGATAAATTTAAAAGTTTAAATAAGGGTTTTGTCTATGTATACTGTTATCGGGGAAGACAGAGTTCTATTTTATTTTCAATTATTTATTTATTTATTTTATTCTTAAGAGAAAGAGAAAGATTGATGGCGTTTTAGACTTTGAGACGGTATCTGTTCCCTTTCTCCTTTTCGAATTCCTCGACCGTCTCGAGGTTTATAGAGAGAGAAAATAAAACTCGAAACCAAGTGAAAAGAAAAAAAAAAAAAAAAGGAAAATCAAAAAAGGGTAAGTTCTCCCTCCGTAAAATTTTCCCGGAAAATCTCTCTGATTGTTTGTTGTCGCTTCGGTTGGGGGACTGCACGATCTGAACTAGGGTTTTCAAGTCTCGAATAGTTATTGAATTTTGAATTCGTGGAAGTGGATTCGAAATGGTGATTAGAGATGCGAATTCGCTTCGATTCTAGCTCCGATCTTGAAACTAGGGCTCAAATTGTTACGGGAAGGCAATGGATGTGGATTCAACAATGGTGTCAGAGAACGATCACGATCAGAACCTTGGTGGTGCGACGCAATCTCCTGCGCTGATGGAGAGGGAGCAGCAGCTAGACAACCAGCAGTCGTCTGCAGGGACTGGTGGATCTTCCGGTGCCGTATCGCATCCTCCTGCTCAGCAGCAGCCTGCGGCCGTGCAGGTGCAACAGCAGACACAGGTGGTAGGGCCGAGGTGTGCTCCTACATATTCTGTCGTTAATGCTATAACAGAGAAGAAAGAGGACGGTCCGGGGCCGAGGTGTGGGCATACGCTCACGGCTGTGGCGGCTGTTGGGGAGGAAGGCACACCAGGATTCATTGGACCACGGTTGATTCTGTTTGGCGGTGCCACTGCACTTGAGGGCAATTCTGCTGCTTCAGGAACTCCTTCGTCAGCTGGAAGTGCTGGAATTAGTACGTTCTTGCTTTCAATTGATTGCTGAATTATGGTTAATGGAGAGTAGTCATTATAACTGGTGAAGGTTTTGATGTTGTGTGAGAAACCCTTATTTTTATGGTGGCCTGGTGATTTCAAAGTATTTCAAAATGAAGAATCCTTAAGATTCATTTTGTTCAAGATGCTTATTTCCAAAACGAGCTATTATAGCTGCGAAGTTAGATGCTCCATGAAAAATTTGAACTTCATATGAGGCTAAGTAATCACATGCCAAAAGGATGTTTAATTACCTAAGATAATTTCATTTGTATTTGGTTTTTTAATCTGAAGTCTTGATTTCTTGGCACTCCCTTCCTCCAAAAAAGAAAAAAAGTTGATTCATGGTAGTTGAGTGTCATGTTGGCACTCCTGGTTTGAACTCAAATGTGAGTAGCAGCTGTAATCCATTCCTTTTTATCATCTTCTATGGTTTGTAACACTCGCCCTTTTGTTGGCATTATTCAGAGTCAGTGTTTTTGAGTAACTTGTGAGACCTAGTTTCCCGAAGCCAAATCATGCCGCTTTGATGGTTATTTCCAGTATAAAGTCACATATCATCCTTCAGTTTGAAGTTGTTAATGAAACCTATCTTTCTGGAATTGATATCGTTGTGTATATTTTGGTCTTTTTTTGCTATAGTTCTGTCTTCCTCAAGACTTTTTCTGATGTTAATGGGGAAACTGCCCTAAATGCTTTAAAGTTCAAGTATGCCCCTTTTTTTTTTGGGCATATGTTGTAAACTTGCGTATATTGACTAAAGTACTACTGCTTCACTTTGATCATGCTGGATGGAAATCCAATGTTGTCTGATAATCTGGTCTTAACATATTGTCATTATTATGTTTCCGTTAAATTGCAGGACTAGCAGGTGCTACCGCTGATGTTCATTGTTATGATGTATTAACCAATAAATGGTCTAGGTAAGCGCTTGATAAGGGTCCCATAGTTATTGTCTCACCCCAAAAACGTTTTGGGTTCCATTTTCTTAAATATTTTCTTATACGTGTTTTAATTTTACAGGATCACACCCTTTGGAGATCCACCCACACCAAGGGCTGCACATGTAGCAACTGCTGTGGGAACTATGGTAGTTATTCAGGTTCGGTCTACAGGCTGCTTTCATTTATTTTGTCTACTATTCTCTTCTTTTTTTATGTTGTAATTTTTCATCCTTTGCAAGGATTTATTACTTTCTCACTGGAAGCTTTTATTTCAACTCAGGGTGGAATTGGACCAGCTGGTCTGTCTGCTGAGGATCTTCATGTTCTCGACCTCACCCAGCAACGTCCTCGGTGGCATAGGTTAGGTCATTGAAGGAAGCTCATGGTTTCCCCTTATGGTAGCCATTGGATTTAATTATTAATATGGATGTTACTGTTCTATAGGGTGGTTGTTCAAGGTCCTGGACCAGGGCCACGCTATGGACATGTGATGGCGTTGGTTGGGCAGAGGTATCTCATGGCAATTGGTGGGAATGATGGTAATTGAATGGGAATGCCATATAGGTTTTCCTTTTCTTTTTCAAGAAAATGTATGTTGAGCTTTTGATTCTATTATTCTTTTAAAAAATTTTGGTGCATGCTTTGTAGGAAAGCGGCCTTTGGCTGATGTATGGGCCCTGGACACAGCTGCCAAGCCATATGAATGGCGTAAATTGGAACCAGAAGGCGAAGGTCCACCCCCTTGCATGTAATCTCCTTTGTCCGTTCTCATGCTGATGCAATCTCATCCAAACTTACGTTTTATTCCTTTGAGTTTTCCCATTTACTTTGTCAATGAGGCTATGTATTGCACCCCAGTTTGATCAGTTTTGATTACCTAGGTATGCCACTGCAAGTGCACGTTCTGATGGTCTTCTTCTGCTTTGTGGAGGGAGGGATGCAAATAGTGTGGTGAGTTATGAAGTCTTGCTGTCTGCCTTGCCCAATTTTTGGTTTTTGTAAAGTCTTGTCCAAAGTGATTGCCTGTCTTTATCATTTAAGTTTGATTTTGAGGCTAGGCTTTCCTTTTACTGACTGTAGGTGGGGGTATGGAGAGGTGGTGAGTTGAGGTTAGATTAACAATTAGAGAGAGAAGAGGCACTTACATATTCTTTTCAATTGTTAAATGTTATAATAGAATTTGTACCTAATAATGTGTAAAATTTTGGAAACTATCTGCCAATGTTTCATGTCATATTAATTTCTTTCTCATTGTTCTTATTATTACCTTTTCTCATTTTTCTTTTGTTTGGTTGTTTTTTGTGGTCAAACTTTGAGATTTTATTTTATAACATGATGTGTCTAACCATTAGGAATCCTATATAATTTGTCTGATTAAAGGCATAGTACTTCCAGGGAACATTGATTCTGAAAATTATTGCCTTTGCTTCTGAGAATGTGTTTGGTTCTGCTTTTCCCTTTCTTTTTTGAGCTCATTAGTGAATCTCGTGTCATTTATGGTGTGAATTTTGATACTCTTCTTTCTTTGAAATTTCGTTTTGGTAAGCCACTATTTGTTCATTGTTTCTTCTTGTAATTCTTTCAGCCATTGGCAAGTGCATATGGACTTGCAAAACACAGGGATGGTCGTTGGGAGTGGGCTATTGCTCCGGGTGTCTCCCCGTCACCAAGATATCAACATGCAGCAGTGGGTTTTACTTCTGTTTTTCCCTGTTATTTGAATTTTCGATTTCCTTTAACTCAGTTCTTTGCCTATACTGCATTTCTAGGTCTTTGTCAATGCACGCCTTCACGTATCTGGCGGGGCACTGGGGGGTGGACGCATGGTGGAAGACTCATCGAGTGTTGCAGGTATCTGATATACCATTTATTAGAAAGTTGTACGCTTATAATTCACTTAAAATGTTGTGTGGCTTTACTCTTGTTGCTTGTGCATATTGCAACGATAAAGTGAGAGATGTGATTTTAATATTGAGATTTCATTTCTCTTCTCTTTGTTTTTTGGCCATCAGGATTTAGTTCATCCGTTGTTCTCATATTTACTATCTTACATTTTTATTGCCTTCCTCTTTCTCTAGTGTTGGATACTGCAGCTGGAGTTTGGTGTGATACAAAATCTGTTGTTACTAGTCCAAGGACAGGAAGATATAGTGCTGATGCTGCTGGTGGAGATGCTTCAGTTGAGTTGACGAGGCGTTGCAGGCATGCAGCTGCCGCTGTTGGTGACTTAATATTTATTTATGGTGGTTTACGTGGTGGTAAGACAAATACTATGTTTTCTGAAGTTTGCTTGGCCATATCTAATTCTTCTTCTCTTTTGTCTCAACACCAAATACAATCATAATCTAGCATGACATACAACATATTTTGAGAAGAATGTTCATGTTTCACGAATTAGTATTTTAAACAATTGTTTGGCTTAAGCAATGTGAGGTAAACTTGGTATCAAGATATAGTGCCAATAGAATGACTGGACCTTGCCCTGTTATAGATAATGGCTTCTAAGTCGCCTGGGATGATACTTGTCTGAAAGTGCTTTAAGTTGGTGTTTTGTAAAATTTCTGAAGAATCTTTGAAGTGGTGCCTCTAAGATATTTCTAATACAACTTGGTTACATGGAAAATTGGCCTGGGACATGATGTTGGAGGCCTGCATGGTTCCACACTTGATAAGATTGGGGTTGGATGTTTATACGAGTGAATATGCGGTCCAAGTTTGCCTTTGTTCTTGGAAAATTGTACTGCCGTAACTCATAATTAAATTGCGTCCCTTCTCTTTTTTTGTAAGGTTATTTTCAATTGCCGGTATTATGAGAGGCTGGATGGAGTATTACATTTTGCAGGCTAACAACCATGGATTTCATTCTCTTCTAAAGTTTTAAAATCTCTGTTTTCGTGGAGTTCTTTTTAATGTTTTCTATCTATTAATAGATCATGGAGTTTCACTAATATGCTAGCCAATGTCAGGATTATTATGTGGTAATAATAATAATGATGATGATAAGGTGCAATATTTATCCTGTAGGAGTGTTGCTCGATGACCTCCTTGTTGCTGAAGATCTAGCTGCTGCTGAGACAACGTCTGCAGCTTCTCATGCTGCTGCTGCAGCTGCTGCATCTAATTTACAGGCAGGGCGAATACCTGGAAGGTATGGATTTGTTGATGACAGAACGAGGCAACCCCTATATGAAGCAGTTTCAGATGGTGCAGTTGTGTTGGGTAATCCAGTTGCACCCCCTGTTAATGGGGACATGTATACAGATATAAGCACCGAAAATGCTATGCTCCAAGGAACCCGGTGAGCTATCTTCTCCAAGCTCTGTGTTGCATGCATGCTCTTGAATATTAGTTTCATAAATTCATCCAAAAGATGCTAAATTTGTTAGTCACTCAGGCGAACGGCCAAAGGTGTTGAGTCTTTGGTTGAGGCATCAGCTGCAGAGGCTGAAGCTATTAGTGCCACATTGGCTGCTCTCAAGGCACGGCAAGTTAATGGCGAACTGGAACTGCCAGATAGGGATGGTGGAGCAGAGGCTACGCCTAGTGGGAAACAAATGTCTACCTTGATTAAGCTGCCTGATTCTGCTGGATCAAATAATGTTGCTACAGCTGGAGTTAGGCTGCATCACAGAGCTGTCAGTATTTTGTATCTTCATGATTTTTTTCATTTTCAATATTGAAATTCAATTGCTTGATTACTTGTTACTTCATATGTGAGGTTATCTTACATATTCTGGCTCTGTGGCAGGTTGTAGTAGCTGCAGAGACTGGTGGGGCTCTAGGTGGCATGGTCAGACAACTTTCAATTGATCAGTTTGAAAATGAAGGCAGACGGGTTAGCTATGGGACACCTGAGAGTGCAACCGCAGCAAGGAAACTATTAGATCGGCAGATGTCCATCAATAGTGTGCCAAAAAGTGTATGGATGACCTAATTTTATATGATAATGTCTATTTTTGGGATTTCATGTACTTCTTTGCACCAAGTTTATGGCTAAAATATTGCACTTTATTAATCCTATCTCATTATCCTTCAATATTAGTAAAGGAATTGTAACTTCCTTTTGCAATTTAGTATTCAAGTAATATTTAATTATTTATCCATGAATATGATTATGATGATGATAAGGTTTGAACTGTGGTTCAATGCTCAAGTTGGTTTTAAAACCATTTTATTTTATTACCCTACATAGTCTTATTTAGTCTTGTATATTACCTACTAAGAATTGCTTTTCTTTCTGTCCATTTATGTTAATTTGCCAGGTAATTGCACATCTTTTGAAGCCTCGTGGTTGGAAGCCTCCAGTTCGCCGGCAGTTTTTCTTAGATTGCAATGAAATAGCAGATCTTTGTGACAATGCTGAGCGAATATTTTCAAGTGAACCAACTGTTTTACAGCTTAAAGCTCCTATTAAAATATTTGGTGATCTACATGGACAATTTGGGGATCTCATGCGCCTTTTTGACGAGTATGGTGCACCTTCAACAGCTGGGGACATAGCGTAAGTGTACTAGATTGTCAACAGAATTTCTGATATAGAAGGGACTTCATTCTGTTTTATTCTGCATCTTATAAAATTCTGCACCCATATATCAGATCTATTTGGGGATTTGACATTTAGGAAAGATTCATTCATTCAAAAGAATCAAAACCCAAAAAAGTTAAATTGCAGTTCTTCAATGGAAATAAGGCTAGGATGTAGAAAGCAATTTGACAAGTTCCAGAGAGAATTAATAAGAACAAAAGAAAAGAAAAAAATAAAAATAAAGGAGATAAGAGAAATGTTAAAGATTGAACTGGTGTTTTGTAAGCTTTCATCATATGGTATGACTGGCTGAGGCTTCTGCAAAAGAATTTTTATTGTTTGTTTCCTGCATTTTTCAGCCAAAGAAGTATTTTTGTTGTTTTCATGCATTTGGTTGTGTGGTGAGGCTTTTTTTTTTTTTTTTGCATTTTTTTAATCAACTTTATTTGTTTGGGGTAGAAGGGATACTCCAACCCTTACATTCAAGTGTCACAATGCTTCTACAAAGTACAATGTAACATGTCTCTCCTCCTTAAGTACAATCAATCCAAAGATTCTGCACTCAATTTAGGATTGGCTTTCCAATCATATAAAAAGAAAGTGAATCCTTTACCCTCCCTGCATTCATGCACTGTGTTGTAGCTTATTCAAGTCTAGACAGATTTTGTTGACATGATGCTAATGTTGTTTATTACTGTTAGATATATTGATTATCTCTTCCTAGGAGATTATGTGGACCGGGGCCAACACAGCTTGGAGACCATTACTCTCCTGCTTGCTTTGAAGGTACTTCTTGGGTTCGGTTTTTCTCAGTAATCTCTGTGATGCTCGCCTTTACTTGCACTTGGGGTTTGCTGGAAAACCTTTTTGATAGATTTCTATTGTTTTTCCAGGTTGAATATCCTCATAATGTACATTTAATCCGCGGAAACCATGAAGCCGCTGATATAAATGCACTTTTTGGCTTCCGAATTGAGTGTATAGAACGCATGGTATTGTATTAGATTCATTAGAAAAATATTTGTTCTTTCTTCTACCTCTTTTTATCCACAAATCTGATTGGATGCCTGACAGGGTGAGAGAGATGGAATATGGGCATGGCATCGGATAAACCGTCTGTTTAATTGGCTTCCTCTGGCTGCTCTAATTGAAAAGAAGATCATTTGTATGCATGGTGGTATTGGTCGGTCAATAAATCATGTGGAACAGATTGAGAATATACAGCGGCCTATTACAATGGAAGCAGGATCAATTGTACTTATGGATTTATTATGGTCAGAGCATGTTGGCTGTATTATTTTTTATCTTGAATATTCTATATATTTATGTTATTTGTCTCTGACATTTATTGTACTTCTTCATTAGGTCTGATCCAACAGAAAACGATAGTGTAGAAGGGTTGCGGCCAAATGCTAGAGGACCAGGGTTGGTTACATTTGGGGTGAGCATTGCTCGTTTTGTCTTGCTCCTTTTTGTTGGCATTTGTGAAATTTTTGGTTACTCTGATTAGACATCATATCCTGATCACTGTTCCTTCGTTATTTGCTTATTGTCTTACTGAAATTGTTTTACTCTCTTTTTTTACCTCTCTTGTGGATTTGGAAATTTTTTTTTTTGGCCAAATTGGTTTTAGATTTAGTTAAAGTTGTTATGTCTTACATCTTGTGGAGAGTAACAGAAGACCTTAATTAAGTTGTTGATTTCAAATTCAATCTATGTTTTCCTTCTCTTTTTCCTTTTTGTGCAATTCTATTTGTAAGGGATAATTTAGCACCTTTGGATGCATTGAATACAGGTTTGGATTTTATGCTAATCATTAGTTTTCTATGCAGCCTGATCGTGTTATGGAATTCTGCAATAACAATGATCTTCAATTGATTGTCCGTGCCCATGAATGTGTGATGGATGGCTTTGAGCGTTTTGCACAGGGACATCTTATCACACTTTTCTCAGCTACCAATTATTGTGGTACATTCTTGACCATTGCTTGAGTGACATTGCGGTCTATGAGGTCCTCATTATTTTGTTTTAAATTTTGGTTTTTGCTTGTTGTCCAGGCACAGCGAATAATGCTGGTGCAATCTTAGTTTTGGGTAGAGATCTTGTGGTGGTGCCTAAACTCATTCATCCTCTTCCTCCAGCAATTTCATCACCAGAAGCATCCCCAGAACATCACACAGAGGATACATGGATGCAGGTATTAAAATTTAGCTTTTGTTTGACCATTGCTGTTGTTCTTTGGTAACTTCTACATGCTGTCCATATAAGTGTTGTTTATCTCATGCATTTAATGGGTCCAGGAACTGAATGCAAATAGGCCTCCTACGCCTACTAGAGGCCGTCCTCAAGTAACAAATGACAAGGGCTCTCTTGCTTGGATTTGATAGATTCTGCTAATTCCTACATAATCATTCTAGGCACATGCTACCACCGGGGATTTCTGGTGCTGTATAGAGCAGGATGCCTTACACTGGAATTTCCGAACTTGTTCTTTCTTGTTCTTAAGGCTTTTTGACATTTTGCTTGTCGCCAGTTTTGTTTTACCACACGGTAAGCCTTGAGATGATGAAGATACAAGTTCGAGATCAGGATGCAGGAGGCGGATAGGCTTACTTTGATCATGTGCTAGAAGTTGCATTTTGGGATGTGGACCCTTTGTAAATGAAGCCATGGGCAGGTAGGAGCGTAGTTTGTGGTGGTTTCTTCCAATGGGGTTGGTAGGGATGGGTATTCTTCTCATTAGTTGTTTCATAATTTTTCATATTTCTCGTCTTAGGTCTACTATTTTTTCACTTTCAAGAGGACGGGAGGTCCCTTACATGTAATGGTGAGATATATGATGTCAAAATCTTTCTGGGCGTCCTTGTATCATAGAGGTGTTGATTTGTGTAATTCTCAAGTCTGCATATTTGTACAATGTAATGTTTGTGTGAAGATAAAAACAACTTTTTTTCCGATGAAATTTCGGAAGTGGGGGCTAAAGTTTTGTTTCAGTCCGAATCCGAAAAGGGCAATTCTACAATGAAATTTGAAATGCCATGGTGGATTTTCCATTACCGAAACAAAATTACAAACAAGTAAAGGAATAAGCTAAAAAATACTTGTTTTAGTTGTACACTAGAACAAGGCTACAATTGGTCGTAAAACTATGTCTACTTTTCGCTTTCCAGTGTTCCACTTCAGTTCTAAAAAATCTTATGATATGCTGTGCACGTAGCAAATAATCAAACTAATTATTTCTTCTGTATTTCTGTTTACTAAGATTTATCTGCTTGGTTAGTACCCAAAAAGAAAAAGCAAAAATTTTGATCATGTATTAATTGCGAGATGAAATGTTTGTATGTCGTTGTATCTCAAACATTCATTTTTGGTAGGCCTATGCAACTGTAACTCCGTCAGATATCTTTCTCAAATTATGGGCATAACCATGTTCCAATGAATTGCAGAGTGGCAACTTCAATTGGGTTTTCCAAAGGCAACTAAAATAGAATAAAAATATAATAAAAGACATGAACCTTTTATGGCATTGCATCAATCAAAAGTTCGCAACATCATTAAAAAAAGAAAGAAAAAAAAAAAAACATATGCTGATACAGAAAATATATCTGGTCAGCCACTCGGACATCTTTGCAGCTCTACCCAGCAACGGAAAAGAGGAAACAACATACTCCTGTTCATTTTTCAGACTTGCCCGTTCTATGAGCATTGGTCGAAGTTTTAAAAAATGAGAATATGGTAAGACGTAAGCCATCTGTTATAAATCCAAAGTGGTTTGATGCTAATAGGAAACAAACAGCATGCATGCAAGTCTTGAAAATGAAGATTGTTTTACCTTTTGAAGATGAAATTAACCAAAAGCAGCCCTACCCAGCAACAGAAACGAGGAAACGACTCTACCTCAAGGCATATGAGTTCCAAGAATTTCACACAAAAAGAAGCTATGGGTTTAAGATTTCTGCTTGTACGTCTGAGCTCAGAGCTCTGACACAATTTCATTTTTCTTTTTTAGGAATTTCTTTCTTTTCCTTTTTTTTTTCCCAATAAAACACAAAACGAATAATTTTACTATGAGAAAATAGACATTTTGTAACCAAGAATTGGTTATAAAAATTTATATTTCTAGTCACAAATTAAATTTATGTCTAAAATTAAAATTTTTGTGATCAATTCTACCATTACAAATATCTATTTTCTTGTAGTGTTTGCTGTTAGTTGTCAACCGTTGGATAGTCTCCATCCTTAAATTTCTAGCCCCCCAATTCAACTTGAGTGGCAACCTCTTAGACTGCTTCACCTGATGAGCCATTGCAACATGTCCAAAATTACAATAATATAACCCTTTGCGAAGCGTAGCCACTCCAATCAACCTCCTCAAGGTAAGGTCCTGGAAAATGCAAAAGTTAGAAAAGAATATGACTGCACAATTAAGTTGCCTCGTTATTTTGTTGATAGAGAGGAGGTTACACTTAAAACTTGGAATATAGAGAACATTGTCAAGGGTCAGTTCATCATTCAAGACAGCTCTACCCATATGAGATATTTTAATAAAAGATCCATTAGGTATGTGAACAGATGGAATGTAAGGGTTGGTCTCACTAAGCTTAGACAAATGAGAGTTCATGTGATCAGAGGCTCTACTGTCAATTATCCAAGAATAAGATAAATTTTGGGTCTTACCAGCTGAGTTGGTTGAATGGCCAAAGATAGTATTACCCCTAAGAAGTGAGAGGAGTTGATCATACTAATCCTTGGTGAGCCCGGCAATTGGAGATTAGTCTTATGAACTTCCAGCATCTTGTAATTCATGAAACACATTTGCTGTAAAGATCATATCATTCTCACGACTTTGTAGTTTTGGTGAATCTCTCTTACCCTTTGTCTTGGCTATTCTTGACTTCCAGTTTGGTGGATAGCCTATGATCTCAAATCACCTATCTTTGGTGTGTCCAATCTTTTTACAGTGATCACAACGCACCTTTCCTGGTGGAGTTGTACGTGTATGAGGATTGGCCATTGCTGCAAAGGCCGTAGCTTCCATGATAGGTCCCCTTGAGGCAGCCACTGCTTGTTGCTTTTCCTCTTTAGTTGCCATGGCATATACTTTGTTCAGAGGAGGAAGTGGATCCATATTCAAAATTTGAGATTGAATGGTTGAGAAATTGTCATTCAATCCCATAAAAAATTGGTGAATTTTCTCTGATTCCCGAGTCTTTATATATTCCTTTGCTGCTCCACATGTGTAGCCACAAGTACATAATGGTGTTGGTTCATAGGCTTGTAACTTGTCCCAAATTGGCTTCAATTTGGTGAAATATGCAGCCACCGTCTTGGTTTGTTGCGTGAGTGTGGCCAATTCAAGCTTTAATTCATGCAACTGAGGCATTGCCTTGAGAAAAATGCTCTTGTAGATCACTCCAGATTTCATCTGCCCCTTCTGCACATGCAACACTATCATGGAGATCCTTGGAGATAGTATTCAAGATCCAACAGAGAACCATAGAATTGCACTTTTTCCATGTTAGATAGTCTGGTGAATTCACTGTTGGTTTCTTAAGAGTGCCATCCACAAATCCCTTCTTGTTTTTTGCATAGAGAGTATTTTGCATTGCTCTTTTCCAAGTGTGATAATTTTCTCCATTCAATGGCGTTGCCACCAAAACTCTCCCAGGACCATTGCTTGGATGAAGATAGGATGGTGAGTTTGGGTCGCTTGTTTTAGGGACTGTTTTTGCTCTCCCTAATTTCATAGATCTGATCTCTTTCGCTCATTTTACTAATTGTGTGTAGCAAAAAAAAAAAAAAAAAACTTGCTGTCAATGCTACAATATGCGGCAAGAGCTTGCCGTTAGGGAGAGAAGGGAAACTGTGTGGAAGGTCCTAATCTCATTATGCACCGTAAATCATATATATACAGATATGTAAAGTTGATTGCGCCTAGACATATCTAACATAACGGTAAGTACGGTGAACAAGGAAAGTATGTATAAAGGAAAATCATCAGTGGTAATTCAATATCAATGGAGATTATTTCCATAACCATGTCCTCAATTTTCTCTGTAGCATTCTCTTGCGTAATCGTGTAGGCCTAGTGGCTAGTGTAGGTCTTTTCCCGCCAGTCATTAGGTAGCTAAG